CGTGCGTGAGGACCTCGGCGTCTATCACGTAACATTCACTCTCCTGGCTCGCCTTGTACATGGTCTGTGGGGAGAAGGGTCCACCGGACATCGCTAAAGAGAAGCAAGGAAGGGAAGCATCTCCCCTGCCCACCGCACACTTCTAGGCGGAGGACCCAGAAACACTGGGAATGGGAGGACGTTAGGTGTTCCCACCTCAGGGCTAGACGATGCTTGCAACCCGGGAACTTCTTCCTGGCGTACTAGCCCTGATCCTTCTTCCTGCCGCTCTTCGGTGCCCCTGCCCTCAACTCACCTGTGTCTCCCTGACAGTGGCAGTTTTAGGAGCCAGAGGGTTGGTGAGGGTGATGGTATACAGAATCACTCGGCTCTGGTTGCCATTCTCTTCCTTCTTCCATGGATGGAAGATGATATCTGAGGGTGGAGAAGAGCCCTGGGATGAGGGAGGGAAAGAGGCATGCCCTCACCATATCCGAATTTCCCCTCCAACTGAACTCTTGACTGTACTGACTGCCGACTGACCCCCAAAAGGAAGCCAGTGGGAGCCTGAGGGCCCAGGGAGGAGGAGGGGAGGAGGGGGAGTCGAAGCAGAAAGAGGCTCATTGTAGCATTGCCGAAATTCTGCACAGGGCTCCAGAATGCTGATTGTTCCTGGGGCTGGGACAGGCAGTCTCGGGGCCACCTGCGGGGGTGCCGGCAACACTGGAGCCACTGTGACGAGGGCCTGGGATCCTTGGGAACAAGCCCTCTCCTCTAAGGCGTGTCCTCCCCGTGCCCGCAGCATGCCCTCTCCTCCTGGCAGAGGGCTACGCTCTAGATGCTCTTTCACAGACTCAGATGCCTAGTAGCTCTGCTGGGCCAGAGCCACACGCCTGCTGGGGAGCAGAACAGGGGCAAGGGGAGGAGACAGGAGCGCGCAGGTACAAAGCAGGAACGCAGAGAGTCCTAGGTTTGAATCCTGGCTCGGGCTCTACTTGGCTGCGTGGCCCCGGGCAAGCAAGAACAGTCTGAATTCTGGTTTCCTCCTCGGTACCCTGGGGATCGTAGTGCTCGCACACGTGGCAGATCCGAGGGTCACACGAGATAACGTCATGTGCCTGGCACACCATGGGTGCCTACTGGGAAAGGGTCGCGGCTACTCTTTGTTAGATGGTGGACTCCGGGAGGTCTTGCCCGCTGGTGAGCCTCCGGGGCCTGGCACTGAGTGCTGGGCGGGGGGAGCAACCAGCAGGGCCCTGGGGGAGCCGGAAAGGGGGTGCCCCGGGCCATTGGGTGGCCTGGAACAGGAAGGAGCTTGGGGAGAAAAGGAAGAAGTGTGGCCAAGAGGGAAGGGACGGGAGGCACCGGCCCCGGAAGGACTGACCGGAGAATCGCCGTTGCTCCATGAAGTCCCGCTGGAAGGGCGAGTCGGTGAACAGCAGGTCATAGAGCTTGTCCACACTGAAGTTGAAGACTTCATTCACGTACTGCCGGCCACTCAGGTCCTCGTAGAAGGCCTGGACCTCCCCTGCACCGAAGAGCCACGGAGAGTGAAGGCAGATGGCCCCAGGGACGCCCCCAGAGCAGTTACGTCTCTGTGGCTTATGTGGCCTTACCAAGGGTCAAGGGCGGCCGGGGTGGGTAGTGGTTAATGACCTCACCTCTGCCCTGTCTCCTCCTTCGCCCGCGTGCACAAACTTACTCTAACTGGCGTTCTATTCGGCCTCGCTTGACAAAGAGTATGGAAATGTGCTATCGGCTCTTCTGTTTTCAAGGCTTCTTTCCTAATCAAGGTGATCTTAGACTAAAACTCAGATCTCACTTCCTGAGCTGAACTGATAACCTCAAAGTTACCAGTTATCCAGAGCCTGTAAGTTAACCACGAGAGACGACAAAAGGCATTGTAACCATGGCACAAGTGCGTTAAAGGGACATGGATTCATCTGGAATAACCTGTTTATATAAAAGCTTCTAAGGCTGGGCTGGTCTGCAGGGCCGTGATCTCTTAACCATACAAGCCCTGCTCCGCTTCCATAAGGCACTGCGATGTTTCCCCCAGGATTTCCACACCCTCCACCTTTCTCCGGTCTCTATTTGCTCCGGGAGAATGTTCCTGAGGGTGCAGGCGTGCTGCTAAAGCCCTCGGCACCCCACAGTCCCTAACTGCCGCACCTACGGAGGCTGGTATGTGATCTCAGGCACGATGCTGCCATTGCTGGCACCCCTGTGGCTCAGAAGCGTCACACAGGGCCCATGACTGCACAAGACAAGCACTATGGGAGTGGTCATGTCTGAGTTTACGTGACTGGCGCCCTTGCTATGCGGTACCCAACCCGTGCAGTCATTTGCACTGGCCCTGCATCCTAGATGGAGTAGGGAAACCAGGCAGGGGAGAGAAAGACACTCGGGGTGACCACAGGAGGGACTGT